GACTTTCATCTTCCTGAATCACTTAATATTTTTTTGCCTTTTAAGAAGGTAATGGATATAGTTCTAATCAGCAATATTTTGTTAATAGTAAGTTTATCTTATTTAAAGTTCCTCATCTATAGATAAAACTATAGATTCATGGGTAAACGTAAAACTATACGTTCATGGGTAAATTTTTTTAAACTTTATTTTAATTTAAACTCAGAAAAAACAATTGAGGCCTAGTTGTTGTCTGACTCTGATAAAAGGTAAATTATTAGAGTAGAATGATTTAATTAATTTAAATGAGTAATCATCTATACTCTTATATATGTTCTAATGAAAAGGACCAAGGAAACAGTATTTTTTTATTCTTTACCCCCTATTTATATAAGGGAACAGAGTTAGTACTCTGGAAGTCACTGTGGAGTAAAAAGACTTTTGTGGGAACAATTTCCTGCAGGGTTTCTTTTTTTATTTTAATGATAGTGAATATATACACATATATTCAGTTAAAGAATGAAACCCTAGCCTTAGCAGTAACTGTTGAGTCAGTTAAAATGTGTCCAGTCTTCTGGCTTAACAAGTATAAGGCAATGGTAGATACAGCTTCTGTCTCTTTATTTCCTTTGGGGAGGAGACAAAACAAATTTACATGACAGAAGTAAAGAATATTTTTTTTTTTTTTATTCGTTTGTTTTGTTTACACATGCACTGGGTACAGTCAGAAGTGCGGGAGGGTGAGAGAATTCACCAGAGCCAGAGCGGGGAGCAGAGCAGGCAGAAGGACCGAAGTACACTGCTGAGGGGAGCAGCGGGCAGCAGGAGAGGTCTGCGCGCCATGTGGGACCCTCTCCCGGAGGCCGGGGAGCGGCCGGGGATCGAACTGGCGCCGCAGAGGCCGCGGGCAGCTTCGCAACCCAGCGCTCAACCGCTGCGCCACCGGGGAGGCCCAGAAGTAAAGAATATTTTTAAGTCCTAAATAAAACAACATGGAATTAATTACAGTGATTGGGACCACCATATATTTAATAAGGGGCTAATACCCTGGAGATTGGGAATGCTTCAAAGATGTATCATCTATCTATTTGATAGCATGCCATGAACTTCCTTTTCTCAGATTTTCAAAAATATCTAATTCAGCAAGTCTTCAAGGGAACGCAGGAAACATAACTGAAATTTTTCCTTCAACTTTGAAGTAAGAAAATATTAAAAGACGAGAATTACTTATTGTTCAAAATTATTTTGTCAATGTTACTTCAGTTGAACGTTCTATTAAAAAATTTTAAGTCTGATGTAAGGCAAAAGAAGAAGGTGAGGTAAGAGAAGAAGGTGGCAGAATCCTTGCATGTGTTACTGCTGCTGCCTGACAACACTGCCATCCTCTACCATGGTTTTATTTAGTTATTACAACTATCTCTCTGTAAATGACATTTAGGATTATTTAAGATTATGTTGTAATCCTTTTAATCCTCAATGCTTTAAATTTCAGGCTAACCACCAAAGAGCAAACTAGCACTTAGCAGGAATGTTTAAAACATGTGATTTGAACATAAATCTTTTTATTCACTCTTTCCCTGATGAAGAACTAGTGTTGTTCTTAAGTTAACTAAGAAAACTCATACCACAGTTCATTACAAATCACTCGGTTGCTAAATATTTTCTCAAGCTACATCAAACTTGTGATGTTCCTTGACAATTACACTAAATGCAGAATCAAGCAAAAGTTAGCAGCATTGAACATTTACTGATTTAACTTAGCATTTCTACCACTTTTTATAAATACAAATGTCTTTCGGGGGGGGGGGTGGAAATGCTCAGTAAAGCTATTAGATGTGTGTGTTCACACACACACATACACTATATATGTATATGTATATGTATATTTATACTTATAAAACACATATCATGACTCATCTACATACACTTTATTGTAGAACTTTTTAATACATTTTAAAAATATATATATTATTTATTGCTAAGGAGCACCAATTATACCAGACTGCATTGTTATAAAATAGGCAGATGTTCTTGAACTCAGCCAGGAAGCATCATACTGATTTACTGAAAATTATTGAATACTGAACCTTAATAATAAATGTTGTCACTGTTACATTATGATGTACCAATGAAACAAGATTGAATTCATGTCAAGAGTTTAATAAGACTTTGACTATGAAGGAAACTTGGCTTTTAATTCAAAGAGAAAATGAACATGCAAACGTCCAAATGACATGTACAAATGAATGAAACAAATGAAATCCTTCCATTTTTTTTGTGTGTGTGTCTCAACTGTGCACTGAATCTTTCAAGCATGTCTCAGGCACGTAAATTTTTGTTTGTTTTCCTAATTCATTGAAGTTCGACTTCTCTACAGACATTGTAATTATATGGCATATAACTGCAAATCCATCAACTTTTAAAAGACAGATTTCAAATTTTAAATTATTTCTAATTTTGCTCTTCTTTGATTTTTCTTGAACCAAAAATCTCAATAGTCATTTGCTATCTGTAATCTATAATTCATAGACTGAGATTGAACACCAAGCCTAATTCAAACTTGGAATTCTAAAGCTATTTCTGATGTAGCACATCAGCTAAAGCTATGATGGTTCCTTTCCAGGCAGAAAGAAACACTTCATTATTCTGTAGGTAATGAAACCCTTGCGAGTGTGTGTGCGCGCACACACACCCACACACACACCCACACACACACTCAAACACCCAACAATGCCTTAATACTATGTTTTTGAGATATAATCATGTTTATTCTGATCATTTGAGAGTTAGACCCGCTAATGTATCTAATCAAATATTGATGCAAGTCATCTAGATTTAGCTCGCTGGCAAATCCTTCCCCATGCTTTTTCGTTAACAGAACTACAAAAGCTATTTATATTGCTCCTCTCAAAAGGCTTAGTCTTATAGTCTGTATCTCTGGATATATATTTATAAATTTTACCTAAGCTCCTGTGTTTAGGTGATGAAAAGATTTCACCATCACAAGAAAACCAAGTGACTCACCCCAAAGTGAATTAAGCAGGAAATGAAACTTGAGTCTCTCTCTAACTTTGTTACACAAAATATCCGTATAGTCAACTCTTGTTTCTTTAAAGTAAAAGGTATAAGAAAAAAAGGTAATCTGGATGTTCAAACACTGGGGTCCCATGAACTGCTGAGCTTCCTGACAAACAAAACTACCTCTTAAGATTTTCCCAAAAGCTAACGAAAGTGAGAAAAGATTTAATGTTTTGAAGGTATTACGGTACTATAATCAGAAATACAAAAAGCAAGAAGAATAATGAAACAGGAGGTGGCTAGTCACATTGCAAAAAATGTTAGAATGATATACATCATCGGTCTAGGTAGTTTAAATGTGCATCTATGTATATTATATTAATCACAACACAAAGTTATACATAAATACTTGTCTTTGATATTTACAGCCTCGCATATATCAGACATACTTGTCAAACATCCACATTTGTGAACAAACAACTTCATATGATTAACAGGAGAAACTGGAAAGGCTATCATAGTCCATCTCCAAGTGTTTCTATTATCCAAAAATTATGTCTATGGCAAATTTTAATTTCTATATTATATAACTAGGTGATTAAGCACCAAACTCACAATACCAAATACTAAAACACTCAGTTCACCTAATCCAGTTCAGAACTGATCAAATTCATCATTTATTTTGTCATTGATATTAAGATTATAACCTGCACTTTCATTATTTATGGCAGAATAGCAAGAAAAGTAAGAAGCTGGGAGAAATACCTCACTGGTCTACAATTCCTCACTTTAAAACAAGATTTTTTTTTCCTCCCTGGAGGTTATAGGACCTCCTGGTTCTATAAGGTCATATTCTAATCATTTTTGACTTTGTCCTTTGATTTCTAGGCAAGTAAGTTTGGTTTTCTTTTCTTTTCATATCCCTTCTCTTTTTCTTTTTGGGTAAGAAAAAAAAACTATTACATCAAAAATAGATAAGTAAATATAACACAACTAAAACACAAAATAATTTATTGTAAAATATGTTGAAAGTTTTTTTTTTAATTCACCTGGATCCAAATTACTTGAACATATCTGAAGTAGCATTTAGAAAACATAGTATAATTGAAAACCAGTTTTTTATCCTCAGTGAGAATTCAGATAGCAAAAGTCACATACCCATTTTTCTGAGACTTAATTTATTAATTTTAGCAATGTGTTTAAGAACAAAATTGAATTTTCTTCAAGGACCAAAATAGTCTTAAAAGATTTAATATAATAATGGCAATAATCTAGTTTCTTAGCTAAAAAATGATATAAATTCTAAAATAACCACTAAAATTATTGGTTACTTTGAAAATATAAATCAAACTAAATCTCATTCAGTTGTAGAAAAAGAATAGTCTTCACAAGCTAAAATTATTGTCAAAGGAACTTTAGCAACATTATATGCACAACACTGTTTTCCCATATCCTTTCTTGCAAGTATTTCATGATTTTTTTATTCAATGGGATATGGTTGAAGTTATACATCAGTTATTTTTTCCAAAACAGTAAATTACACAATATGAAAATATCCAGCTTTTATAGAAGTTCAGTTTTTTCCATTCCTTAAGTTACATTAGTAAATATAATTATGACTGAAGACAGGAATGGCAGTGAAAGCAAATAATTTATCATAATTAGTAAATATTATTTAGTGTATATTGAACACTTTACATCAGATTTGTCAAGCATTATAGGTTCAAGCCTCAAAAACCTATCAAATACATTGTAAAGTTCAAAGACTTGTGGATGTAGAATTAATTAGCACACAAAATATATTTTGAGTTTAGTTAGCAGGCACTGAGGGAAAAAATAAAAACAAAATCCAATGAAAAAGAGTCAGCGTTTTTTCACAATGATGCAAATAGTTCAGGTACATGAAAATATCAGAAGACTGTCTTTTTTGACTATTCAAGAGACCGCGGATTTAGAGGAAATAAAAATGAATCGAATATATGAATGAATCGAATATCTCTTACCTGAAAGACATTCTTTCTGCTTGATTTTTCCTTGGTCCATTCAATATGGGCTCCACACAAATCTACACTCTCCAGTTTGTGCCCAGTTTTCTGGAAAAAAAATGAAATGAATTGAATGAAATGAATTAAAATCATATTATATTGTTAGTGTATGTCAGGAAAAATAAGAGTTTATTTAGTTAGCAGCTCTACAGATTTACAATAGAAAGCCCTTCTACTTTTTTCAGTTTCTAAGAGCTATCTGGATACTCATGTTCATTACAAGATTGTTTCCAAAAGTCAAGACATGGAAATAATCTAAGTATCATCAATGAATGAACATTAGGAATGCTATATACATAAAACTGAAAAAAAAATGATTTGCCTACAAAAAAGAAGGAAAACTTGCCATGTGCAACAACATGGCTACACCTTAAGGCTGCTGTGCTAAAGAGACTAAGTCAGCCAGGGAAAGACATAATACATGACTTCACTTATATGTGGAATCTAAGTAATTCAAACTCACAGAAACAGAAAGTGATTACCAGGGACAGGGAAATTGGGAGATTTTAGTCAAAGGGAACAATTTTTTCAGTTATATGATTTAAGAATCAAATACACAGTATGGTAACAATAGTTGACACTATACCTTACACTTCAAAGATGTTCTAATTTACTGAAAGAATAGTTCTTAAATGTTTGCACCACACACACGTATGCAAAGGTAACTTTATGAGGAGATGGATATGTTAATTAACCTTATGTGCCAATCATTCAACAATATATAAATGTACCAAATTTCACAATGCACAATTTAACTTACACAATTCTATTTGTCAATTTTATATCAATAAAACTGAAAAAGTAAAAAAACAAATCTTATAAATATGTATCTAGTGCCACCACTGTGCCTTTTAGAGGTTCACTTTTCAGACTTTTAAAACTATACACATAAGTATATGTGTATTTGTGTCTAATGTACTTAATTTATAGCACATAGGCTACTGCACATGCTTCCTTTTACAAAACACAAATGTAGAGTTCAATTAAAACTTGTTTTATTTCAGTAATTGATAATAATAAATTTACGGGAACATCATCTACACTTGCCTATTCATATTTTCATATGATGTAAGTGAATCATATTTTAATTTTATTTTTTCTTGAAGATTTATTTATTTATTTATACAAGCACTGAGTATAGTCAGAAGTGCGGGAGGGTGAGAAAATTCACCACAGCCAGAACAGGGAGCTCTAACTAACTGAAGACAGACTAACTGAAGTACACTGTTGAGGGGAGCAGCGGGAGCAGCAGGGGAGGTCTGTGCGCCAGGTGGGACCCTCCCTGTGGCTGGGGATTGAACCGGCGCTGCAGAGGCTACCGGCAGCTTCTCAGCCCGGTGCTCAACTGCTGCACCACCAGGGGAGGCCCCATATTTTAATTTTATATAGCTCTTTTGTTTTGTTTAATACCTTGAAGTATCTAGATGGGTTGCTTTCAATCCATGAATTGGTTAATGAAGTCAGTTAGATCTTGGGGAAGATGGCATCAGAAGAATTTCCCTATGTTGACTGGGGAAATGACTGAGTTCAGATAGGCACTTTTTTCAGAGAATCCCATGATTTGGAATGAAACCATAGTATCATCACCAGGAACTAATAATGACAGAAGAGACATAGAAAAAATTCAGCTTAGGAGAAAAGAAGGTGAATGTGGAAAGAAGCAGTCACTTGTGGGGAGACCATGCCTCATATTAGCACCAGGTAAGGACAAAGCTAAGTGCTGTGGCTCTAATCATGGGAAATTTAGGCAAGAGTGCATTGATGAGGCCAGCACATGGGGTACCCAAAGAGGAAGACAAAGTTCGAAAAAACGTGAACCCCACTGCACACACCCCCAGGAACAGGCAGATACAGGAAACAACTGGATATGGTGAAACTGTTTTGAAATGTGCCAGGGCTACAATGAAGGCCCAATCCATAGACTACAGAGATGTGGGTCTGAGGCCTAGAGGGGAGGCCTAGCAGCAACAACATAGGCAAGAGCCAAGCCTATATACACCTCTCTCATAAGCAATGAACCTCTCCAGGATGACCTTCCATCACTCAATGGAAGGCCTAGCAACAGATTAGTTCTCCCTAACATACAGTGCCATCTACTGGAAAAGTGGAAGCTCTGCATTCTTAATATATAGAAAGTAAATAATGGGGAGATAGAAAACAAACAGCAGGCAATCTGAGTCCCAGGGGAACACTACATCACAGAGAGAAATCCAATCTCTAGAACCCAACCACAAGACATGGAATTTATTTTCTGTCTATCAGATACAGAATTCAAAATTACCATGAAAAAGAAATGGGAGAAAGCACAGAAAAGCTGATCAAAGATATACAAGAAAATCTTGAAAAACAAAAGAATGCCCTGAGAAATAAAAATTAATGAATGGAAGACTGACATTGAAGCTTTAAATAACAGGGATGCCAAAGATCAACATAGGAGATAAAAAAAATTGAAAAAGCTCTGTAAGTACAATAGATCAAATGGAAGATCAAATCAGTGACCTTGAAGATAGTAGCACACAATGAATTCAGGTGGAAGGAGAAAGAAAGCTATGAAGAAAAAAATAAAGAAATACTTCAATTAGCCAACTCCATGAGGAAAGTAAACATAATAGTAATGGGTATACCAGAAGGGGAAGAGAGAGAGAAGGGAGCAGAGAAATAATTTAAAGAAATATTAGAGAAAAACTTCCCAAACCTGGATAAGGAACTAAACATACATGTCTATGAAGTTAAACCAGCACAAGTTACATAAACAAAATTAGATGTACAGCAAGACACATGTTAGTGAAACTTCCAAAGTTTCAAGACAAAGAAAGGAATATTAGAGTTGGCTGGGGAAAGAAGCAGATAACCTCTAAAGTAATCCCATCAGACTTACATCTAACTTCTCTGAGGAAACATGGGCAAGGAGAGAATGAAATGACATATTCAAAATACTTAAAGATAAAAGTGCTAGCTAAGATTACTCTATCTTGCTAGACTCTCCTGAGATATGAGGGAGAAATAAAGCTTTCTCAACAAACAGAAACTAAAAGACTTTGTTTGCATCAATAGACCCCCAATCTATGAAATGTTAAAAGGAAATCTCATATCTAAATTAAAGGGAAGAAAATCCACAAAAAAACTAAACAAGGAAATTGAATCATAAAAGTAAAGGCAAAATAGCAGTAGCAGACTACTCTCTATATCAAAAATCACCCTAAATGTAAATTGAATGAACTCATCAATCAAAAGACATAGTGAAGCTACTTGGTTCAGAAAAGAAAATCCAACTTTCTGCTGTCTCCAGAAAATGCTCCTGAGTCCCACAGATAAACACAGGCTCAAACTAAAGGGTACAAAAGCAATCCTATAGGAAATATGACCCAAAGAAAGGCATGGACAGCCATATTTATATTGGATAAAATAGATTTCCAACTAAAAGAGTTAACAAGGGATGGGAATGGACATGATATAATGATTAAGGGAACAAAGCATCAGGAAGGCATAACTGTCATATGTGTGTGTGTATATATATATATCTGTATGTATACACATGCACATATACATACACATATACATACACATGCACATGCACATATATAAATTAATAAAGGTGCATCAAAATATATAAGGCAATCACAAGCAAATCTGAAAACAGATATGTAAAAACATATCCACTTTCCCCAAATGCCAGATCAAACAGACAGATAGTACACTGTAATCTTTAAAAAAAGAATTAAGCAATATGGGATTAATAGACATTTTAGAGCATTGTCCTACAAAAAAGCTGAACACACATTCTTAAGTTCACATGAGATATTCACCAGGATTGACCACATACCGGGTCACAGGATAAGAATCAACAAATTCATGAAGATTTAAATTATACCAATCATCTTTTCTGAATATCAAGGTATCAAATAAGAAGTCAACCATAAATAGAAAGCATAAAAATTTCTAATGTTAGCAAGTGAATGATACACTATTGAAAGATTATAGGTTAATGAGAAAACAAAGAATTAAAAAAAGGATATCTTGAGTCAAGGGAATATGAGGACAGAACTTTCAGGCTTTTGGAATATAGGAATAGCTATAATAAGAGTGAAGGTGATAACAATACAGGCCCACATCAAGAAATAAGAAATAGGGGCCTCCCTGGTGGCATAGGTGGTCGAGTGCAGCGCTGTGAAGCTGTTGGCAGCCTCTGCAGTGCTGGTTTGATCCCCGCCAGCCTTGGAGCAACCCACATGGTGAGCAGACTTCTCTCTCTCGCCTGCTGCTCTCTTCAGCAGTGTATTTCATCAGTTTGCCCGTTCTGTTCCCCGCTCTGTCTCTGGTGAATCCTCTCACCCTCCCACACATCTGGACTGTAGCCTGGCTCTTGTATAAATAAAATAAATCTTAAAAAAAATAAGAAATAAGAAATAGTACAAAAACACTAATTTGAAGAGAAATATGCACTCCTATAATGTTCATTGTAGCACAATTTACAAAAGCCAAGTTATGGAAACATCCTAAGTGTCCAATGATAGATAAGTAGGTAAAGATATAGTATATTTACACAATGGTATACTACTTAGCTATCTTAGCTATCAAAAAAGAAATTTTGTCATTAGTGACCACATGGATGGAACTGGAGGAGATTGTGTTAAGTGAAATATGTCAGAAGAGAAACAAAATACCAAATAAATTAACTCATTGTAAATTATAAAAAAGCAAAGCAAAGGAGCAGAAAAAAACAAACCAAAATAAATCCTTGAAATCTGATTGACGAACAGAGACTACCAGAAGTGGAGGGTAGTGAGGTGGACACAAACTGGGGAGGAGATGCAATGGACTATAGTGGAGAATTATTGGTGCCATCCTGTTGAGCATGGTGTAATACATTTGTAGAGATTTAAATATACATCCCTAAAACACATAGCATGTTGTAAATCAATGTTACTTCGATAAACATAATTTTAAAAAGAAACATTTTTATGTGCCAAACATTTTTATGACTATTAGCTCATTTAATTCTTACAATAATTGTGAGATACATACTATTAATATCGCCATGGTCCAGG